ATTATATACCTCTTAGCTTATAAATCGTGACCAGTGATGAATTTTTATAACGCCACAAGCTATGGTAAAAACTAAAAATGTAGTGTGTGTGGAACAGGGGCGTCATTTCAGTTTTTTTTTCGGGTGTGCGAAGTTTCAAGCAGGCCATTTTGAAATTTCACCAGACCATATAAAAATAGATATACAAAGGTACGTATATGTATATACCGGTTATTACAATTTGATTTTAATCATATAAATAATTGTGCATTCGTGGCTCGTGCATTATTTTAGGTTTCAGCAAGGCGCAGGCCAATTTTAACATTCTAAAAGTAAGGGGTGCAACCGCACACCCTGCCACCCCCCCCCAAATGACGCCACTGGTGTGGAATGGGTGTACCTATTCGTTAACAGGTGGTTTTTCGTTACCGTAAGAAAATACACATAGGCGTGCGCACGGGGAGGGTCATGGACCACCCTGCAAGCCGTACTGTACTTGTTATACTTACACATTTGCGACCTTATAAATTTTTATCATGAAAATTAAATAATAAAATTAAAAATTTCAATGATTGTAATAAAGTTAAATTTAAATACTTTGAAAAATATCTTAAATCTTTAAAATGTTTAAATTATAATTGGTTGGCCCACCTTGCCAAAAAGATCTGCGCATGCCTATGAAAATATATAAATCTAATAATCCCTTGATCGTGGTTACTGGATGTTAATATTTATGGATAATGCATGATGTTATAAGTCTATGACATTATATTATTTTTAGTATTTATACACCTTCGTCCTTCATATTATAAACAATACCCCTATATCTAATCATATAATACTTGAGTATTTTTTGTCGCGCTTACATCAAAAGTATTTGATGCCAGTTAGTGTTGGAAAATTACTTTTTTCTATCCAGCAGACAGTGAATCATTTTTACTGCTTGACAGGTGGAAGTGTTTAAACCACCTGCACAATGGTCGGAAAAGTAACTGTTTATATTGAATTAATCATGTGTCTAAATGAGTTTAGCTGGAGTGGACCGGGCTCTGATGTCATGTTATGTCCTCAGAATTGGTACACAATAACCTATCTGTTATAATATTATTGTTTTTAGTACATATTTTTAGAACCCTTTGGTAGTAGACCAATATGATCTCTATATAAGACTCTATTCAACTAAACTTACAAGTAGGTTTCGGGTTTTAATGCAAAATCTATTACCTTTGGGGAACTGGCAATAATTTTCAATTGCAAAATCCATTTTATGCATCAAAGAATTGAAAACATAGATACTTGTCACTTGTCGAGCATTTCTTCCTTTACTCAATTATCTCGGACAGATTTTACCCCAATCTTATGATATCATACATGATATGATCAACTCTTGGTTAGGTCAAATACTAGACATATTTTTTTGGGAGGGAGCTGTGGTATTTTCTCCAACTGAAATTCCCAATTCAGCCTATATGAGTTAGAAAATTTACATCTGATAGGACATAATAAGCAGACTTTATAAATAATTCCTGGATTTCGGGGGGGGGGGCTGGAGCCCCCTCAGCCACCCCATAAATACGCCACTGCTACTAGACTAACTTTATAGCCAACTTCACAATTTAATATATGTCTTGTTCTTAATATTCTAATACAAAATCGATTCAATAACTTATTAAACAGCTTATTAATAATTTGCGAATTATACCCTCATCGTAACTGAAAATACGGAATATGTATTCAAAATAAATAAAATAATCTTTAAAAATACTAAAAGAAATACAGAAAATAATAATAATAGTAAAAAAAAAAAAATGAGATCAAACAGGGTAAAAATTTAATAAACAGAAAAGTTTAATCTCTGGATTTAGAATTAAAACAAAATTTGATTATTCTTTTATTATATTATATATTATTATATACAGTGTCTCGCAAGGATTTGCCCATTGAGATATCAAATGAAAAAATAGAGATGTCAAAATTTTGGGTTTGTTATAAGACTGACTCACAGGGATAAGAACTACAATCATTTCATTTTTAAATTTATTTTAATGTTTTGGTAAAAAATTTAAAAAATATATTTAAATTTAATTCTAAAAAAATTAAAGATAGCCATTTAATAGTTTATTTTACTTTCATTAATTTCCTGATTTTTAGTATCTTTCTAGTATAGTATAATATATATATTTTAAACTAATTCTTATGAAATATTAACTCAGTAACACATAAATTAAAAAACTTTATTTATTTTTCTATTAATAAGTCATAAAATATTTTTATAGTTTTAAATGTAATACAAAATATAACTTAATTAAGTTGTACATTTTTTTTACATGTCTTGAGTTTCAATTACTTGGTTAATAATTAGTCATTCGGCGTCTTGATTTTTTAATCCTAAAAATAACACATTCATAAAGTAAAATAAATAATATAATGTTATGTTTATTATTAAATAATACCTTTTTGGTCCTTTCACAAAGCACCAATCAACACTAATTTGCTGTCCCAAAATGTCTGTATTATTAAGTCCTTCACGTGCACGAGATGCTTCCTTATAAGACTCATATTCAACTAATGCATAACCCTTAAAAAAATAAAAAAATAATCAATATAACAATAAACTAAATACCTAATAATGATTACTTTTAAAAATCCAGTTCTACGGTCCAAGTTTAAATGTAAATTTTTTATTTTTCCAAACTCAGCAAATTTATCATGTAAATCATCTTCTTGTGCTTCTTCATGTAAAGAAGAAATGAACAAAATCCAACCTTCAACCGCTGTAAAGAAAAAAATAATTATATGAATTATAATTAAAAATGTATGAATATTGTATAATTACATCTTTGTGGTCCAGGGCCCTCCTCATCATTTTGATCGACAGAATCAAATTCCATAGCTTCATCTTTAATATCATCTCTTTTAGACTTCTCATCAAATCCACGTCCTTTCCTTCTTCTGGCTTTATCCTTAAGCTTAGAAACTCCCTCTAAAATTAATGATATTAATTAATTTTTTTTTAGTTTATGAGTACTTTGCTTCAATAATTGCAACAATTTCATTTTATTGCAATTTTTCAATGTTTTTGTTTTTCTCTATAAATATTGATGACAAAATTCTTTACAGGGTTAAAATACCAAAACAATAATACAAAGTTCCACTTCAGTTTTTACCAGACCAATTTTGAAATTCTTAAAAATATAAACATACCTTTTTCATAGAAAATCTTCAAAATCAAGAATGTTTGGAAATTACCATTAAATTTAAAATGTTCAAACTGTTCAATTTTTATAGCTTGAAAATTTAATAAAATGTTGCTTGTAACTAGTTTATGTTGGAATCAAAAGTCTAAAAAATATATGACCAATTTTCTTTTATATATCTATTTTAAGTTCAAATTTTGAAGATAATAGATACTAAAATAAATAACAATTTTTTTTTGAACTCAAAAATATTATAGGGGTGTACTTTAAATGTATAAGTTAAGTATATCATTAAATTGTATACCTATAGAATGGCATTTTCAAACTTAAGTTTTTGGTAAAAATTAATTCAACCTACTGTAATAACTAATCTTGATCAATAAAAGAAATTATTTCAAAAGTAAAATCAGAAATGTGCGTAGTAATAGGTAAAAACTGACAGACCTCTTCGCTCAGAATCGTTTTTCATATACAACAGAGGTATTTAAAAGAAGAAGAAAACTAATATTAATGTAGATTTTGTATAATTGTTATAAATATTATTTTAAATCATTATGGAAACGATATCACGCCACTATTTAAAGTTTAATTTTTAGTACCTAAGTCATTGTTATTATCCCCCATATTGGCCATATTGTATCCGTGTGTTGTTTCAATTTTTTTTATAATAAATTGGGAGCCATAAAAATATTGTAAAAAACTAAAAGAGCCACAGGATGAAAAAATTTCTGGTGCACAATGATACAATAAACTTTTTTTATTTAGTTTTCTTACATATTAAACTCAAAATAAATTTGATTTTTAAGTATAGTAAGAGTATATAAGTTCTAATAGTAAAATATTGTTCTCAATAAATAACTTAACTATTTAAAACTAGTCAATTTTAATAAGACAGTGTCAAATCATAATAAAACACTTCATTATATTAAAAAAATGTTATTATTTTAAAATTGAAAACAACATTAAGTTGTTTATTTATCTAAAGGTTGATGACAATTAAATTTGATATCATAATTATTTAACAGTAATACATGAAAATGCAAGTTAATCAAAAGTAGGAAAACATTTTTGCATATCAAGGTTGTTATAAAATGTATATACATTGTAGATTTACTTAAACAAACTTTAAAGAAGTTTTTTCGTTATCACAATAAATATTTTTCATATTATATAATTTATATGGATAATTTTATCAATTCATAGTTCACAATCTACTTTTTAGTAGGATTAATGTCAATAGTATAATAGGGTGTAATAATAACTCGAGCATACAATATCCATCCATCTTGCATAATATTTTTAAAGTTACTTAGAAGTTAGAGTAAATAATATATAAGCAAAAATATATTACCGTCATCTTCTTCCACGAAATCTTCAGCGTTTAAGTCTAAAACGTCAGCCATTATAACCTGGAACGGCTGGAACTAGTAATACCGAAAGTAATGTTTTGTACTTAGCGAACGATAGGTGACTAACGCTAACCTATTCTAACGTTTTGGATGAATTTGTAAAACTCGAAGAGATTCTGGTTCGGGTAAATAATATGTTAATATGTTCAGAAGTTTCTACATGCGGACGTTCGGTGGATTAATAATCAAGACATGATCGTCGTGATCGACATGATCCAATATCTTAATTCAAAACATCAATAGTTCAATGATTGTCTTGCCAGTAAGTTACCATAATGATTTATTTATATGTATGAAGTTAGCAACAGATACGTACGATGAATAAAGTTGCTTATTTGTTATTTGGCCATGCTGTGATAGTAGTTAATTATTTTATCATGATACCTCACACTATCACAGGACACACTACGCGGTATACACTATACATTAACACATTACAGTATTACACTACACACTACACAGTGAAACGTGGTTTTATTTATGTGTTATGTCTGTTTTTAATTTAATTTTTTTAATATTCTCGTAGTTTATACTTTATAGGTACATAGTTATGGATATTTTTGAAATCATTCTTGGAAGTTATGAATCATATGTGATTGGTGTAAAATGTCGCTTCAAAAGCCAAGTAAATATACCCATCAATCTGCTTTGAGCAGTTACAATTCTATTATATTAGTATGTAATAAAATTTTAATTAAAAATTACTCTGTTTTATAACTTAGCAGACCAAGGAATTAGAACTGGTGCAATCATTCAATGATCATGTTCATCAAGCTAGTATCCGTTCGGTAGCATGTTCATCCAAGTATATGGTATCAAGTAGCACAGACGAGACTATCGAGGTATACAATATGGTCAGGCGATGTCATGTACACACTATACTACAGCACAGTGGCACAGTTACATCTTTATCATTCACACCAGATGAATCACATTTAATTAGTACTAGTGAAGACGGATCAATAGCAATGTTTGAGACTGGTACATGGAAGCTAAAGAAGTTATGGGACAAAGCTCATAAAGGATCAGGTAGGCTGACAATTAAATTCTAAAACTCTACTAGCGTATATCAATTGATTAGCCGATTAGCGACTATTTGATTTTAAATATGTAATTAAAATACATTAACAGGTTTCAATTTTTTAAATTGTTATAGCCGTTTCTTTCCTAGCAGTTCATCCTAGTGGCAAACTAGCATTATCAGTCGGAAAAGATAGAACACTAAGAACTTGGAATTTAGTTAAAGGTAGACCTGCATACACTACCAATCAGTCAAGGTAAGTTCACATATCACAATTCATTTACAGATTATTTTGTTAACAATTGACTTCTTTATTTTTGTTTATTAGTATGAGTGCTTATTACTTTTTTGATAATATTATTTGGTCTCCAGCCGGACAGTATTATGGTCTACCTCTAAATACCAAGCTAATGATTTTCAATGTAGAAACTGCGGGAATTGCTTTTACAATTGAAGACAATCATAAAATACATGGTGCTACGTTTATAACGGTTGGTGACAATTATATTGAATTCATTTGTATGTTACATTAGAATATKATTCTTTGTTGCAGGAAAATTTGGTATGCTATGGCTCAGAAAATGGTTCACTACATTGTTACGATATAATAAATAAAGAAAGCATTTGGGAAATTAAAATTGGAGATACTAGAGTAAAATGTTTAATCAAAATTGATAGTAGACTTGTAACAGCACTAAGTGATGGCCACGTTACAGTATGGGAACTTAATGGCAGTAAAACACCTGTTGAAAGTTGTTCGCTGTTTTTAGACTGTAGAATTACTTGTATTTGTAACAATTCTTTAAAGTAAGTTGTATAAATTAAATTTCATTCATTTACCAATCACATTTTTAAAGTAAAAAATAATTTTAACATTATAGATTCCATTGTTAGACCAATTTAATATGTTACCATAATCTCAGTTCGAGATTTATCCTAAACACAATGCAGTTCAACAAATCTATAGAATCACGGATAGTATCAAATGTTTTTTTCGTGACAAACAATTTTACTCTGGGTTTTTCTTGATATATCTCWAGCTTTTGATCCCTTGTAGCAGACCAGTTTCTATTCAAACTTAATTACTTAAACAGTTTCTCTCTTGGCTATATTTTCAGTTATTATAATAAAATCTTATCTAGTAAAATGGTTATTTTTAGTATGCCAAAAAAAAATTATATTCAACTGTCTAGAATATTGAGGCTGGATTGTCTTGGGTAGTGATTTATTACACACATTTTCTTTATGAAGCTTATGATTTTTCTTTTAAATAGTGATTACATTACACAAAAATTATTGTTAAACATATAAATACACTCTAAAATCGACTGTCTTAAAGTAAATTTAATCTGTAGATTTAAGATAATCATGTTAATGGTGCGTCTTGGTCATTTTCTCGTTTTGCATGTTYAACATCTACTTACAATTCAGTTACATGACTTATAAATACACTTTTATTGCAGCCCTCACTCAGACTCAATTATCAATACTTAAGTAACCTTGAAGAACAATAATAGTTTTCTCCACGTTCATAAATTCTAATGGCTTGATTTTAACTAGTTAAATTGTTCCATAACTACTTAACACGTTGACTGCCATGTGTCGCTGGCAGCCTCAAAAATATTAATCATGGGTATTGGGTACGCCAAGGAAATTTTCTTTATATACTATTGAATTAGAAAAAAAATTAAAATGTTAAAATTATCTTTATTACACTAAAAAAATTGCAATTATTCCCGTTAGCTCATTTTCTAGATTATTATTGTAGCGCTACAAAAAAGTTAATAATATAAATCCAAATTAATTTACGGCAGCCTGTGGCCATATGACTTCCTACGAATGATATGGTGCGGCAGTCGGTAGTCTAAAAATTATCAATACCTAATTATTTTTATACAGCCTGTGAGCTGTGGCAAGTGGCAACATGTCAGTTAACATGTCAAATGAGTTAAATAATACCATAAGGATAGGACTTGTAAACATAAAAAGGAATTAGGTACCATACTACATTAATATTTGCTCTGATAATTAAATCACAGAATATATGAAATATTTCATAATTGAAGGGGTCAATGGATAAAGGTGTTAACTGACATTTTTTCAAAAATGCATTTTATTGCATGAATAAAGGTGTTATAATGTTATAAACATTATATCAAAATTTGATATGGTTTTATTTAGTAAAATAAAAAATTGATAAGAGTGTTATAAGAAGAATTAATCATTAGTTGTAGTGGATAAAAGTGGTAGTGTATGTTAACTCCTTAGAACAAAGTGTTATTGGATATTACCGCCTTTATCCATGCTGTTATTGAATTAAATTTCGGTGTTATTTTGTATATGTATTTTTAGACATTATCTGCAAATATTATAAGAACTTTTCTTCGTGGATTGTTTTTACTTTAATTATTGTTATTGGTTAATTTTATTATTATCAAATAATAATGTTATTAACAATTTTTGTTTGTTTGATATTGATTATCGCGATCGGTTCGTACGTCGCGTTCGTTTTGATTTATTTTATATTTTTACATTAAAA